CGCGCCGAAAGCGCGAGGGCACCCCACGCCGCCCTCCGGCAACTTGTGGGGCCATCTCGGACGGGGGCGGGGCGCGACGGGAGGACTTCTCACTCCCCCTGGGGTGAGGACCGGGTGCCCGAGCCTCGGGGCGAGGCCGGGAGGGAAGTCCCCTCGCCGAGAAGTCCTGCCTCGCCTCGCCGAGGTGGGCATTGTTTCCCGGGCGGTGCAGTGCCCGGAGCTGGTGACAGAAGTGGCACCTCCACCCCAGGATCCATCCCCTGCCTCTGGAGCCCTTGAGTGTCCGATACCAAAGGCATTTCGGCTGGGTTTTGCGGAGACCCAGCGGTGACGAAAAGGGTGAACATCTGGAGGGGAGGAACAGGGGGCTGGGCCGCTTAGGGGGCACATCTGCTGTAAGTAGGGCGCGTGCTCCGCTGGGGGCTGGGGCGAGCAGAGCGGGCAGTGCCTGAGGCCAAGGAATAAGGGCCTCATCCTTTCCAGCCCTGGGCAGCTGCTTCCCTCCCTTACCTCTCCACTCCCAGAGGTGTCTCCTATTCCCTGTTTCCTTTCCCTAGGCAAGCCAGGAGCAGGTGTGGAAATTCCAAGGGGAGGTGGCTTGTGGGGCAGAGGAGAGAGAGGAGGTGGTTCAGCCTGCTAGGAGTCACTGGCAAGGAGCAGGCTTCAGCTCGCAAGGGCAAGCCCTCCTGTCTGCTTGCGGGGACACCCGGCGGACACAGCCTCTTGGGGCCCAGGTCCCCCCTCCTTGAGCCGTGCCAGCCCCAGCACCTTTCTGCTTGGGCACAGCATGGTGGTGGATTCTGGTGCCAGTTAGAATGTGTTCCTGCTCAGCTAAATGGAGGTGAAAGAACGAACGGGCAGGCAGCAAGGAGCCTTTTCGGCATTCAGCCCCAGCATCTCAGGCCCCTGGCATCTGCCTTCCTTCATAGGGCTGTGCCCCTGTGTATGATTGGTGAGTTGGCACTCCCTGTAAGGGAGGCACAGGTAGAATGAAAATCTCTCTCCCCTCCCCCTTGGTTCCAGCAGGCAGAGGAGTACAAGTTATAGCCCAACTCCTGCCCAAGGTTGAGTGACTGTTTAACTGACCACTAGCATCTTCCCGAAGAGTACTCTTTCCACTCTCCAGGAGAATTACTAGACCTTTAATTTTCATCAGCCCGGAGCTGCTCTCTCTAATGCATCCTCCCCACTGCCTGCAGCTGGTTTGCTGCCCCAGCTGCCAAGCCCAGCCCGAGGCAGGACCCTCAGCCTTTTTCTGATGGCCGTGGTTCCCCAGGGGACCAGGCGTGCCCTGGCAGGAAGATTTAGCCAGGCCAGAGCTCAGCGCTGGGTGCAGCCACTGCGTCTTTGAAAATCTCGGTTCCCATCTTTGTTATTGTCTGGGCGGCAGGCCACCCGGTTTGCTGCCTTCCTCCCTCCGCCCAGCCCCTTCCTCTGGCTTTCTTCCCCAGGAACATGCCCTTCTCTGCGCTTTCCTTGGTGGGGGTCAGGACCCTCTGCACCCGCATTCAGGGCCTCGTGTACGTACCCAGTTTTGTGTGCATGTGTGGGTGTCCGGGGAACAGGAGAGACGGCAGGCGGTCCGGCCTGAGTGTGCCTGCCCTCCTGGGAGCAGACAGCGTGCATGCCATGTTTACCTCCCTCCAGCCGGAAGCCTGCACGGAGATGCCGGCGAGCGCTCGGTTGGCAACCCTGGCCGGAGGTCAGGGCCTGGCTGAGATGACCTGGAGCAGGTCCTGCCCAGCTTGGCCTCACGTCAGCTTTGCCACATGCCGGAGGGGCACGGAGGGGGGTGGGTAGGGAGAAAGACTGCAAGTCTGTTTCTAGAAACGGTGGTAAATGGTAGCGGCTGGAGCAGAATATCACTGACAGTGGTGTGGAATTGTCTTATTAATTTTCTATAAACAAAATCTGGCTTGGTGGCTTCTCTGGCACAGGAAGGGAGCCCAGACTTCCCACGGACAGGCAGAGAGACTTGAGTTTGAAGTCCTTCTGTCCAGCCTTGGAGCTGCAATGGGCTTTACTCGGACTGGGGTCTCCTGATGTGCTGCTTTGCCTAGAGGTAGATTTATTGGCTGCTGGTGGGATGGCTGGGCAGGTGTTTCTCTGGGGCAGTCCCTGGATTCGCCCTGTTTGGAGTTGAGTGAGTCAAGCCGACTCTGGCGACCCCCCACCCCCACCCCCCAAGCTCACGGTCAACGCTGAGTGAGTGGAGAGGCGCCTCCCCCCGCTCTGCCGTGGGGTGGTGCTGCTGCTGAAGGCTGGGAGGACAGAACGGCTGCCTTTGGCGTGGCTCATGGGACCCCACTGGGCTGCCGTGCCTCTCCCTGGGAAGGGGGCAAGTGCAGAGCCAGCGGCCTCACTGAGGAGACGGGCACGGGAAGGGGGCTGGGGGCCTCTAGGGTGGCAGATGTGAGCCCCCGTAGCCGCCTCATGGGGAGAAGGAGCACAGGGAACTCAGGGGCGGCCACTTGGGTTCTGACTCTGGATGAATCTGTCTGCTTTATGGCTGCTGAAGCGGCTTTGTTGCATGCTCTCTGTGCTGGGGAGGTTATTTTCTTTTTGCGCTGGGATTCTCTCATCTGGGAGCTTTTTTTTTTTTTTTTTTTTTTTTGCGCCGGGATTCTCTCCTCTGGATTCTCTCATCCAGTTGGCTCCGTTCTGGGATCTTTCAGCTCCTTGGGAAAGGAGTCTGCCCCAGGTGTGGAGACGCTGAAGTTGGCTGATACGGGGAGAGGGCTGATGCCTGGTTGTGAGGCTGGGGTCAAGCCAGCCAGGGCTTGGTGGGCACAACTGGGCTCTGGGGTCCCCGAGGGCCACAGGACCGGTTTGAGCCTTTGTACTTACTTCCCTGAAAACAGCCTGGGGGAGGTTCTCAGTCGGTCTCCAAGATCACTGGACCCCTCAACGCTCATTTCTCCTTTGGAGGTTTTGGAAATAAGCACCAAGGACAGGTAATCATTTCCCGTGGATAACAGAAATGAATGCTGCTCGGAGGCTTTCCAGGTGAAAGGTGTGCTGGCAAAAGCACTTTTGTTTTGCAGGCTGGAAATGTTCCTGCTTCATTTACAAGACGGTATTAATGTTGGTAAAAGCAATCTCGGATGTGGTGCTTCTGCCTTCCCAGAAGATAATTTCCAAGTCACTCATTTATTTATTAATGTTGCTGAGTATCTAGGAGGGTCAGCTGGCAATACTGTGCTTTCCTCATTTTTTTTTCTGGCTGACACAGTATCTGGGTGACTCTGGATCTCCACAGGCGGGCAACCCAGGTGCAGTTACCCAAGGCTGGTATGTGTGGAGTGAGAGATTGATTTCCCTTACAGGGAATATGTGTGTTGCCTGGAGTTCCCACACCTGAAAGTTACTAATGGTGGGATTCCAGGCAGTGTAAGACTAGGGAGGGAGATAATTTGGAAGTGGGGGGAGGGGGCTTTCAGGGACCCTCACCCGGCCCTGAGGAGGCAGGAATCAATTCTCCCCCTTTGGGTGAGGCATTCCTTGGTGGGAGGAGAGGAAGCTTGATGAGGAACAGGGAAAAATGGAAGACAGAATCTGATTTCTGTTGACAGTAGGTGCAGGAAGGGCTGGGCACCCAGGCCAGGGTTTTCTCCGCTCTTTCCCTCCCCTGC